AGAGAGAGAGAGAGAGAGAGAGAGAGAGAGAGATAGGGAGAGAGGGAGAGAAAGGGCAGAAATAGAAGAGAGAGAGGCAGAGAGGGGGGGAGGGCTTGCCTGGGGCCTGGGGGGGTCGTCGGGGTCGGGTCGATCACACAAGAGGAGAGGACCCCTCTCTCTCGCAGGCTCCACGCTGCCAGGCGAGCCAGGGCCAGAGGGCCGCGGAGGCGCGGCGTCCACCTCGTGCGCTGCTGGCGGCGTGGTACCGCTTGCATGCTCCAACAACTCCTCCTTATCATCTCTTCTCTCCTGCTTTCCGCGTGAATATGACCTTACTTCTAGTGTGGTTCGTTCGCTAGGCAGAAAGCGGCTCTCGACCGGCAGGATTCTCTCGCTGAGCAGCGCAGCAAACGGCCGGTGGCCGTGGGTGGCAAGTTGGGGGTCTCAAAATAAGCGAGCGGCAACGACTGCAGCCGCCCCTATGGCCGCCGGGGGGCGCAGCAGCGCAGGCCCAACCTGCCGACAGGCTTTAGCCGGACCTGCCCACAGACAGGTCGCGGTTGTTGGAGTGGAGTAGAGAGCGATATTGGCTCACTCCCTCTATTCTTTCTGCATCCTTGTTCCGCATCCGTTTCTCCCGGCCGCACCTCGCGGCCACGCCCAATCCTAGTTCATAGCTCGGCAAGGCAGAGGTAAGAGTCAGGCCTTCTCTGAGCCCAACGCGGCGAACTTGGCCTGGGTAGAGTCTCTGGGTGGAGATAGAAAGGAACCTTTTTCAGAGGCGCTTCGCCCTTGCTCCTCCCAAGTCGCCGCATTGGGGGTTGGGCTGTGGGCTGCTTTGGGCTTGCCCGCACCCCGAGCGAGCAAGGGGTAGCAGCCGGCCTCCGCTCCGCTTCCCCTGCTGCTCTTCCTCTTCCACTTCGCCGTCCTCTTCATTGTCTATTTCCTTTCACAACACACCATCGCACCAAGCTGGACGGCGGCCTTGGGATCCTTAATTCATCGTACCCAGGAGGAGTCCCTCGCAAGTGGCACAAACTCATAACTCCAGTCTCCCCGGCCGACGGCGGCGCAGTTCTCTAGTTGACGGCCATAACACTGCAAGCTCAAGGGTTCCCCGCTCCCTCCAACCTCTCCACTTGTGCGGCTTCGTGGTCTAACGTTCACTTGACACAGTTTTCGCTAAATGATCTTTTTTCAGCGGTTTATTTCCGTCATCGTGGAACGCGTGCCAGACTTGCACGGTGCTGCCACCTTGCGAGAGGGAGAGGCCAGCGCGGGGTATGCGCAGTGGGAGGCACTACACCCCGTTAGGAATTCCCTCGTGAGTATGAGTGTCCTAGACGCGGTGGTCATACTCCGTGCTAGCGGCGTGGTGCATCGCCGGCGGAGCTCAACCACTTGTTCCAAGGGTCCTTCTATCATCGTTAGATTTCGTTTTGGTCTTCACGCTGTAAGTCACAGATAACTTTGATTTGTTGGTTAGTTATAAAAGAATAAGCCGAGGTATTACTGGAAAGACTTTATTTTCTTTCGTTAACTATGTACACTAAAACGATGTGGGAAAAGCTTGACTCCACGCTAACTCCACAAAGAAGGCAGGGCAAAGCTACCACTGCCAATAAATAATGTAATCACAGCAATCTAACATGTGCGAATACAGCTCGAATCGACACATATGCACACTCGCTTTCACTCACACATACATTCACATTTATAAATTTATATGTAGGACGACATTTATATGCAAAACTCAACTGGGACGAATAATTACAAGACAGGAATAAAGGGACTTTCAAGTGAGCTGCAATATTCGCACATGCATTACTGCAAAATAAAGTGCTTTGTACCACTTTTTAGAATACAATGTGACATGAAATAAAAATCACAATACACAAACAAATTGACATAGTATCAAACGAAAATTAAACTTTTTACAGAATAATATATCACACAAAATTTTCAAGTAATACTAGCCAACTTGTATGAAAAGGTAGACACTTCAATCAAGAACAATAATAGGTACAATTTGTCACTCATTCATTCTGTAATGTATCTCTACATACATAAACATATGTCTGTACACAATATTACAACTTGCAATATGTATTTTGGAACATAGTCAAAAAATATCAATTAAAATATGATTTCAGACTTGTTGAACAATAGCAGCCTGCACTTAGAACTTGGCTCTGAGGTGGTCAAGTTAATATTTTTCATCTTTCCAGATCAATCCATTTGCTGCTGGTCCTCTTTCTGATACTTCAACAGTTTAAGCTTCTGAGGAAACAACCAAGCTACTTAATGTAGATTAGAAATAAAAGAAGCATAACATAAGAGCTACAAGTAAGGACAAAATGGAGAGATTCGTCAAAAATATGACCATATAAAGGTTAACTGAACCGAAATAATCTGACTTGCAGCAAAGTTAATTGTTGCGGGTTTATTTACAAACAAAGAAACAAATGGTGGAATACAGAATTCCTAATGCAGTCTTAAGCTTCACCAACTGATAGATAATGAAAAGTGCATCACAGAGGAATAAAAGTGAAAGAAAAAATAACCTAAACTCTTTCAAATGGCCATAAAACTAAAAAAGACAGAGGGGAAAAGTTTTGACTCCTACTCACTGTAAACTTAAGATAACTGGAACCATAAAGAATTAACAACTATATACAAATACAAAACTCTAAGAACCAGCACAAAGCATACTGCTCAGATTATCAGTAATAAAAAGAACATACAATTCATTTGAAAAAGTTTAGATAGAACAGAAAAGAGTGGATCTGAAGCTCAGTTGGAAGAATTCAGCAAATTTGCTTCTTGATGGCATGAACATGATCGGCCTTCTCGCCACGTGCATGCCTTTCCCACATTCTGTCGTAAAGCATTTCCATTCCTTCCGCATATTTTTTACAATCGAAGAGAGGACTTTCTGACCTTGCTATCCATACCTGGGCTCGGATAGACTTCAAACTAAACGCAAAAAGGAAAAAAAAAATAA